ATTTCAAAGTTACATACTTCATTAGTTTTCTTTCCAAGCTGATAAACACATGACCAAATAAAATATAAGCAAAAAATAAGACAATACACGTCACGTACGCAGAAAAAAGATCACACTAACAAAACAACCTAATTTAGTTTTGTAATAGGAATATAGTACCTATGTAAGTTGAAAATTTACTGCTTATTAAAGATCATTTGGTAAAATATTCGTTAAAGTACACTGTTATAACAATTTGCGTAAGAAATAACAATTTCGATCAAAATACAGACAGATTTTTGAAAAGTACATCCCATGTGATCAATTATTGTTCCAATACATATCTTAGACTGGTTATTTTTCAAAATAAGGGCTTTTCTTTTCGACATTATTACTACAGTTTTATCATAGTAAATAATAATAATAGAGCAAGAAAAGATCCTAAAAGTTTGACCAAAGCTACCATAGTAAATGGGGATGAAGTATTACTCACTTACTTACGCCAGTTACTCCCAATGGAGCGTAGGCCGCCGACCAGCATTCTCCAACCCACTCACTCTGTCCTGGGCCTTCCTTTCTAGTTCTACCCAGTTTTTGTTCATTCTTCTCATGTCTGTCTCCATTTCTCGGTGTAATATGTTTTTTAGTCTTCCTCTTCTCCTTTGGTCTTCAGGATTTCATGCAAGGGCTTGTTTTGTGACGCAGTTGGGTGAGATGGAGTATTATTTTCACTAGATTCGAATCTGTTATTCAACTCCTTAATTAATTCGATTCATGAATTCATTATATATATAAAGAAACTTCAAATTAATGAAGTAGAACGGTTGATAATCATAAATGTTTGTTACCTTGTGTATCAAAATATATTGGTATTGTAGTGTATGCTACTTATATTGACATACGTAGTACACAACGATAGTCAGGAATAGATTATTTGACAATAGAATGTCGAGAAGATCGAGAAGGAAAGAACGGGGGTAGAAAGCGATTGGTATGGAAATGAAGGAAAAGTGGAGTCTGAGACAATTGATTGACATTTTGTAAATTAAGTAATGACTGTATGATTCTCAGATTTTACTAAGATATTCTGTAATTTTGTGTTCAAAAACATTCAATTTTCTCTACTTGTGTTCTTATTCACTAAAATATTATTCAACTTCAACCCATAAGAAAATTTTTGTAAAATGAATTAATTGATCATTATTATCAGAATGGGGTTTTGTGGAGATTGTAGTAATTTTTAATAGTCGAATTCATGAATCGATCAAAGTTAGAGTACTATGGAAAACCTAGAAGTACTGGATGGTCGTTACGTCCTAGTACGAGACTCCTCAGCAGCGTGCGTCCACAATCCCATCCAGTGGTTTCAGGTTTTCAATGGTTGTTGGTCTAACTTTAATCGACTCATGAATTCAACTAATAATTATTTTCAGAAGGGGTTTTGTTGAGATTTTAGTAATTTATAGAGTTGAGATCATGAGTCAATTGAAGCTAGACCACCATGGAAAACCTGGAAGCACTGAGGAGTCCCATAATAGAACGAAACGGCCGTCCAGTGCTTCCAGGTTTTCCATGGTGGTCTAGCTTCAATTGACTCATGATCTCAACTCTATAATAATTATTTGTTTACTACTGATTGACTTTGTTGTATTAATTACTGAATCATGACATTGTATGATCATTAACCTATATTATATGACATTATCATGTAAACTAGAATTCTTACTGAATACTTTTAAGTATTCATTTCCATCATAAGATTTGAGACTTTTTAATTTTATTTTGTGTCAGGTCATCAGTGACAGATTACTGAAGTGTCTTAGTTTCAAGTGAAAGAATGTCTGTTATTTCTTAATATTAGTGGAACTATATTTACTGTTATATATTAATAAAAACATCTAGATCGTTGAAAATCTCCAAATAATCACTCAAGTAAATAAGTTATTCAATTACTTACTTAATTACGTCTGTTACCCCTCACAAAGGAGCATAGGCTACACACCGTCATTCTCCATCCAACTCTGTCCTGGACAATCCTTTCTAGTTCTTTCCAGTTAACATTCATGCTTTCCATATCTGCTTATATTTTCCGGCATAATGTGTTCTTTGGCCTTCCTCTTTTCCGCTTCCCTTCCGGATTCCAAGTTAGGGATTGAGTCGTGATGCACATTGTTGATTTCCTTAATGTATGTCCGATCCACTCCCAACGTCTTTTCCTAATTTTCCTCTTCAGCTGGAAGCTGGTTTGTCTTCTCCCATAAAACGCTGTTGCTGATAGTATCCGACCGATGAATTATGAGTATATTTGCGCAGACAACTGTTTATAAATACTTGTACCTTCCTGATGATGGTCGTAGTAGTTCTCCAGGTTTCAGCTCCGTACAATTAAACTTTATATAATACTGTTAATAAATATATTTAAGCATTATTGAAGTCTACATTCATTGAATTGCTAATATAACATATTCTAGAAAGAAGTATTCACAACATTATTTGCATATTAAACAATATTTATGTGTTGAACGGTTGTATCGCCATCAAGGTGGCTTTTATGACCCTAACTATGTATATTTCATTGTAAACAATTACAATAACAATATTTTAATAAAAATTGCGTTTCAATATATTTGGAGCACACAAAGTAGACAATAATAAACACCCACAATCTTAGTTACTGGACTATAGTGAGGCAGAGATAAAGTAATTTGAGTTTGTAGTGTCCGTTGATATATGAAGTCGTATACCTTAATTTAGCTTCTAGATAAGCCAATTCACCTATCCATCTTGACCTTGTTAATTATTCACTTATTAACCCTGACTTTTTTATATTAGCGTAGGTGTGTGTACACTTCTTATCCTATTTATCACATGTCTATCATTTATTCTCGTCTGACTATAAATATTGATTAACGCTTGATTAAAGCGAGTTGCCTTACCTGTCATCTTCAATGACTGTCATTTTTGTTTCGCTCGCTGATATTTGCTGATGTGCTGATAACTTTCTGGCCTGTAACATTTGTTAATAAAACTGTTGTTGCCGCTTCTCTTTGCTTTCTAATTTTATGCACCGTTAAGATTTGTTTTATGACGGTTATCGAGATGAACGATTAGCGAAGCACGGCACTACAAGTTATATCATGGCCTATTTTGAAATTTACACCCGATAATTTAAATCAAATGACCTTATTACTGTTTCTTGAAAATGATAATAAAAATTTAAACATAATTTGACGTGGAAGGATGATATAGGTCCCTAGTCCACATTTTTGGAAGCTGTCCTATTATTTACTTAACAGTAAGCGGTATAGAACTGCTCTATATTTACTATTGAAAAAGCTTAATCAATGAAATGAATAATGTGGTTCAAGGGGGAAAGTAAAACTGCAGTCATACATAAATAAGTGGGCTTTAAATTCTGCTTCGTTCACTGATGTATTAATCCTCATGAAAATATCCTTATGCCTTCAGTCGGACGCGTGTGGTTTTCAGTTAATTCTGAAGTATTATTTTTTTTCATATGCTCTTTAAGGATACGAAACTCACCAACACATTTCTAGTATCGTTGCATTTTATGAGCTGGATGGTTGAATTTCGAAGCTCACCTCCTCGTTCTAGAAAACATCAGAGTCTTACTCAATCTCATAAATAGAAAATTTACTAAAATGCTTATCCGAGCTTCAAATTTCTTCTAGAGTTTTGACTTACAAATATTTCATATCATTAGATATTCACCATTTGAATACACTCAAACAGGTTCATTAGGAAGGGGAAACCATTCAATATATGACCTAAAATAGTGATTTGTAAAAGAACAACTTGTTATTCTTAATTTATACCAAATGTTTAATGTCTAATCGGGTGTGCAGGAATATCCTAATCATTCAGTCTATGGAAACATCCAACTTATTTGTATATCTTTATTATTATTACAAAAGTCAAACATTTAGGACTGATATTATATTTTAAAAATGTTTAGACAATAAGCCCGCTGATCGGTTTTCATGCAGGTTTATTCACAAGCTTAGTGATTCCTATCTAGTATTCTTTATTTGCAAAATTATTTACTAGCTCATTAAGCACGTTAGAGTTTTAGTGGAGCGAATATCGAAGAAATGTGTAATTTTTGATTGGGATCACGGGCACCAATGATCAGTCACGCGGGAATTGAACTCAGGATCTTCGTGGATGCTTCCAGGTTTTCATCCTGACTATTACGTAGGCTCATTTGATAATTGATGTTTCGAATCACTTTAAGATATAATCTTTTCTATCCTTTTATAGACATGTTTAGCATACAACTATTAATTCGAATGTACAGATTGAGTAAATGATTTCGTCGAAAAAAAGTTTTTTCGCTGAATTCTCTTTGTCTTAACTCCTTGTTTAAACTTTTAAACCGGTATTAACAAGTTTTTTAATATTAATGTAAAAGGGATGTTATATACGTTTAGTCACATCCATAGTCGAAAATTTTCTCACGCGAAATGAAGAGCAATGATCATCCACAATAAATAGTCGTTTGAAATAATAACTAAAATTTAGTAGTTTGATCTTCTTTGTTGAATGGGGATATAATCAAGAGGAACTTCTTACTGTTAACAGTCATTGGTATAATTCATCCGACATTCATAATAAGATTCGTAATCGTAGAACAATATGAACCTATGTAGATCATCCCGGTAGACAATAGATGTAACTTTGAGAGGCATGATATGTAAGTAAACCCCCTGCTGAACTAAACTATCTAAACTAGTTCTTCACTTAGCTATAAAGTATTATCTATAAGTGCGGATATCCAACATGTTTATAAGTTATTGAAATAAAAACAGGTTTCACTGAACTGGAATCTGTATTTTTTAATGATGGAAAATGTTAAAGTAATTCCGGTTCACTTCTTGGTTATCAAACTAAGTTAATGATCTATGCTGTGCGTTTGAAGATTCTCTTTGATAATAAACTAGATTTTATGACTTAGATTGTTTACATTTGATGCAAACTGTGAATTCCTGGTTGTTTCCTAGATATCTTTTGTGAATATCCCTACAAGCCTCATACTTATCTATTAAATATGCATGAATGTTGCCCTGTTCTACCTACCAAATCAGCGACTAGTGTACACTCCTAAGCTTCACCAACCCCTGTGCACAGAAAGAAGATGAAACCTGTGTGAAACATATTACTGTCAAAACTAAAGGTGATAATGTTTACATTTAATGCTTATTTACAAATTTTCAGAGTGAAGAGGACATGCAGATGGTACACTCGACAAAATGAATAATTCACAAATTCATAACTGACGATTTACTGTTAACTCCCTTCAAATTTTTATGACTTTGAGGCATCTTTCAACTTGTTCACCTTTATTTAATATACTAAATTTGCTAAACTGAAATATGTGATAATATAAAGAGAATAAAAATTTGTTAGCTATATTTATTCATTATCTGAAAAGCTTGTGAGTAATCACCGACCAAAGCAACACAGATTGCTTTTCTTTCCAAATCATTGCGTAACAGCAAACTATTAACTTAGTATGATATTATTCTTCATCGGCATTACAATCAAATCTAGCCTCAAGCTTTATAAGCAGAGTTAGATGGTGGCTAACAACTTAATCTAGGATATGCGTTTCGTCCTATTCCATACTCATCAGATGAATTTTCCCGCAACCTAGAGTTGATGTTCATTCCGGGATTAGAACCTGGTAACGATTACTTCAAACGCCAGTGCGTTAACTACTAAGCTACAAAGTCAAGTTGGCCGTTGACTTGTGCACTAGAGTTAATTTTTCAATTCAGTTGTTATTTTTACACATAAGACAAGTTATTCACTGACTACAGTGATAAGAAGATGTACACCGGCCACTACTACTACTAGCTACTACTACTACTACTACTTGTATAAGTAGAAAATATAATCTTTATATCCAGAAAATAATTCTCTTACTGGTATTTTGTTGTTACTTTTGTTACTTGAAATAATCACTCACCAACCTGTTTGTTAGTGATGATGCTTCTATCTTATTCAAAATTATTCTCCTATTGGCATTTACATGACCACAATGTTTACAGTTGTTAATGATTCATCAAACAAAATTAAACATTTTATACTGCATAAATAAATAAACCAGGGAATAGAACCGTATTGACCAGATATTTTTAAACATAGTGAACAGCATCTACTATATGTAGAATGATAAGGTCAAGGCAAAATCAGGTGTGTAGTAATAATAATGAATCACTGTACAATGAATGTAAATGTTAAGTAATCGTCATTTGTTATGTTCTGTTTGAATTCACCTTATGAAGTAAATGTAATACTTAGGTAAAAATAATGGTTGAAACTGGTTTTTTTTTTAAATAGACCATAATTCTAAATAGTAAATATATATATATCGTAGGATTGAACTTACCAACACGGTGGTCCACGATATGGCGACTGGGAACCTATTTTTTTCAATGTTCTGTCAACCATGATCTTACGAAAATTTGACAGGATTTACACATGAAAACAATAGCTATTGATCTTTAAATTTTCCTTTGCTTCTTTGCGATCATATTTTTTTTTTATCTTACCAGGTTTTCCCTGGTGGTCTAGCTTCAATTGATTCACGGTTTCAACAATGAAAATATTAAATCTTCACAAAAACTTCTTTTGATAATAATAATTCTTTTGATTGATTACTATTAATTTATAATGAAATTCAAATATAATACATCGTTCCTGATATTCTTCTCTGTTTGTTCTTTTAATTCTAGCTATCGCCTAAGTATGCCTAACATGATCAAATCAAATCAACTGAATGGTTTTACAAATAATCGTGATTTAAATCACACTAATTATAGTGGAATTCATCAAACCAATGGATATACAAATAAACCAAATAATTCATCTGGACGTTATATAATTCTATCAAAATCAACAACAGTAAGAAATGGAACAAGTAAAGGTTCATATCATCCTGCTAGTCATTATTTTCAACTTGATACAACAAAACGTTCTCATTCACAACAAAGTATAGGATCAAATCTTTCTAATGGATCTATAAATGTAAGTGATAATAGGAAATTATATAGTTTTTAATGACAATTTATTTAATTAGGCTATTTATGATTTATTGAAGTCAAAATTATTATGTTTCTGGGTAGTGACTAAAGATTAAATAGCAGAGAATCATATCCAATGGTTTTGAGTTAAAAATCTCTGAAATGGCAATCAGATTATGACTTAATTTCAAGTGGATTTAATTAAATTTTCATGTATCGTATGAAGCTGCTACAAGAAAGGATGGTTGTATGGAGGAGATTATTTACAGTTCGCGGGTTTTTTTTTCTTAAATCAATATGGTTATGAGAACCACTGAGAAGTAATAAGCGTTAGACAGCTGTTCAAATCTATTTACTGTATCCTGGAACAGTACGTACCTGTTATGTTATGAATGACGGAGCTGTGAATATTAGGTTTTGACAGAGTTCACTGACTAATTCCACTGAATTTGTTGGTTCTGTTAGCTTTACTTGTTAAATGTGATGTAAACAGACTAGTTTGCAAATAACTGGAGATAATCCACCAATTAAATGTTTATTTGTTGTTCTTTCTTCGTTAAAACATATTCAACATAAAACAAGATAAGTTTTTTTGATTTTGATTGGTTTTAAGTGACATCACAACCAATTTAATAATGTGTGCAATATATATTTTACGGAAACAATTCTTTTTCGCCATAACAGTCAGCGGAGTTATAAAAATTCGGTTTACGCTGCTACTTTTATGAAGGATCCAGTCTAAGCTGAGTGAAGTTTGGTTTATTATAAAAGTTATAATCATTGTCAAAACTAAACTGTACAAGATAACTCTAGATAGACCGTAACACAAGTTTATCGTTAACAAAAATTATACATAATATTAAAACATTATGATGGTAATAGTATGTAGAAAGCGATTTCCCACAGGTGAAACTCTAAGATATTCTCTAGACTATTGAGCACTGAGTCTTGGTTTATTAGGCCAAATATCTTATTTGTTCTGACTTTGGAGAAACCAAGACTCTGTGCTTGACAGTCTAGAACATAGCTTAGAGTTGCACATGTAGGAAATTTCTTCCTACAAGTATAAGTAAAATACGTTTGTCATTATGGTGAATGTTACTCAGTGTATCGTACAGAAGTCGATTTGATTTTCGCACTGTATCATGATCTATGGAAGCCAAACTGAAAAACCTTCTCATCTGTTACTTAATCTCTAGATGGAATATAGATAACTTAGGATTTCTAAACCTAATAATGTCTAATTGAGACAAAAACTACTAGTCGTTTGTAAATTAAAGCGATGAGTAGTTTTTATACAAGACAGTCAATCGAATAATGTTTGGTAAACATGGCAGCTGATAGACATTGATGACTGCAAGTCAGATTGCCTATCAAACCACTTGTTTTTTATGCTGTGTATTCATTCATTAACCTCCTATAGACACATATAAGTCAATAATGATATTCCTTGTAAATCACTTTGAAAGATTAGTGCCTTCAATTATTTTAATTAAATATCATTAAGCCGGTTCGGACCCTTGCATGTCCAACTAACATTATAAATGGAGTATCAGTTTTCATTTTAATCTTACTTGAGCTCATATCAGTATCATCATTACAAACTAAGGACAATAAGTAGGTACAAACATTTTAAAACATATTTTTGTATAAAACCTGAATCTACTTGTAAGTAGCTAGACTAAAATTATTCTAAATAATAATCATAAGATGGTTAATGGTTAATATAGTGAAGATACCGAATAATTGGAAATTTCTTACATTATAATCAAATTAATAAACTTCAAACATTTTTGTGCATGCAAAAGCACCTTAAATCAATTTGATCATTATTAGGTGTTAGATCTGGTATAGTGATTGATTTCAAGTTTGATTATGCAATTGCATTCTATGCTCTTGAAAATCTACAGTCGTTAAAATCTGGAAAAAATTGGGAGGGGGGTTAAAAATATTCGAACGTATTTACTCCCAACGAAAGTTTGTTTGAGGAGACAAAGGGTATCTTTAGAGTAGCTAATTAACTGAGAATTTCAAAATCTGGTATTATTTGTAATAATTTGTCTGCTCCAATACTCGGTCATTCACTTAATTACAGTCGACCTAAAGCATCGAAAATATGTGCATCAGTCCAAACTGTCATAGTTCATATTCTCGTGAAAAGGTTAAGAGGCTTGCAGTCAAAGATGACCAAATGTTGTTTATGGATATGAATACATAAACATAACAAATGTAATTTACAATAGTATCAAATAAAATAGAAGAGTAAGACATAATGAACGAAACCTCATTAAAAATATAGACTAATAACCTTTGCATTACAAAATCCACCAAAGGTTTAATGAAGTAACCGGCAGATAGCATTTTGATTGGTTACAAAGGTTTTGTTATTAATCGGTCAGCTAAAAGCTGAATAATTTACAAAAGATCAGATGCTATCATTAAGGAAACCATATCACTTGGTTATCGTCATCAATTATTACTAAGTATTAATCTTTTTCACGAGCCTAAGGAGGGTTAAAGCGTCTTAGAATACTTGGTCGAATTCATGGGATCTCGGTATCAGATCACAATTTTTAACCATTTTGTCAGCTCTCTTAAAATACTAGATGCCGTTAGTATACTACTAACAATTTGACAGTAGTTAAAAATAGATTTAAAATGTTTTTATTTGCTCTATAAGTTGTTATGCAACAAGTTATTGTTCCGGCTTTATTTAGATTGGTAAACAGAATCGATCTTTGTTTAATGTATTCGGTCCTAGTCCCACTTTGAAGATCGATAATTTTAGATGGAACTTTGTTTTAAATAACAAAGAAAATATTTATTACATGTTTTAATTTTGGCTAGAAGGTTTTTTAGATTATTCCACCTTCTGAATGGGTCTACAGTAGAAGCTGAAACCGAATCTTTTCCTGAAAAAATGGTTGAATATTACATATAAACTTTTTCTGCTTCGAAGTAGGAATTCTTCATTCCACAAATGTAAATTTCCACCGATTCCAATTTCTCTTCACTTAACTGAGAGCTAGGTATACTGATAAAGTAAATGTAGTGTACATCAATTTGTTTCTTTTGATCTTTCAAAGAACCCCAGATTTCTTTTTCAGTCTTAACTTTGTAAGGAATGAATGATTCGTTTCAAAATTATGTTGTTTTCATCTAAAATCTCGGTAACTATGCTAACTGAACTTATACGTGTTACGACACGTAACCGTCTTTAGGATAGGACTTCCAATTATGTTCTTCCAGTCTTCTAGTAATATGCCCTGGGTTGAAAATAGGTTACATGTTATATTGAAAGATCTCTATAAATAAATTTAAAGTTTATTTGTGATATACTCCATCAAATATCTCTGGTTTCAGTATGTGTGTTATTAAAATTTGATTGTTCCTGTGCGAAAAATCTATATACTTTGCTATGTACACTTTTCTAAAATAGTTCAAAAATACATCAGCTTTGCCAGAATTACTTTCCACATCATCTTACTTATTTATACGATCTATTTTGTATGACTACCTATAAGCTTTGCTCTGAACTTTCGTTGAAACGAGGCTCAGTTTTTTACGGTTTGTCAGTGGTATCCGTATCTATAAGGATTGGTTTACTGAAGACACCATGTGCATAATTGCTTATAAATTTGCTAGGTGTGTCTGTTTCTGGCAGTCCATTTCTGACAACAGTTTAGAAATCAAAGGATTATCCAGTATATATATATATATAGTATAATAAATTTTGAAAATAATGATTACAGAATTCATGTCAGTTTACAGGCATGATCAGCTTGATATAGAAAGTTATATTAAGTGTAGGAAACAAATATGTGATATAAGACTGTTTCAAGTTTTATAGTTCAGAAACGGTTTAGGTACTACATTATCCACATGTATTACAGCAATGGAAGGCATCCACAGAGAACTTTCACTTGTTTTTAATTTAACATTCTGTTGATGTATGAATGGTGTATTTAAGGTCACCTCCTGTACCATAACGAATTGATTATAACCATCTGCAAATAGAGAAAATAAAACGGAAACAAAGAGCACGGAACAAAATTGGTAATAATTACTGAAATAGGCTAGTCAGATCTACCATAATACATATGTCAGGTTATTTTGTGATATACTATTGGTATTAGATATTATTGAAATTAATTAAGGTTTCTAGGGTCAGTTTAAGTGTAAAGTAACAACTAGTAGGTAGGTTTACCAAGTGGATTCAGTAATGAGAATGGCTAAACTTTTACAGTTCCTATAATCTCACCTGTGGAATTTGATACACTTACATGTGTTATAACATTTAATGCATCCATATAGCGAACAAAGAATTGAAGTGATCTTATCTCACGGACAAATTGTGGTAAACTATTCCAGGGTCTGGGAAACTTAGTGGTAAATTAATTTATATAGAGAGATAATTTAGAATGTGTTTGTCTCACTAATGTCAATGAGTTATAGATACTGTAAGTAGAAGTTTCTGCATATCGAATTATATCTGTGGATGTCAAGGAAAGTTAATTGTGTAGTTTGAAAAAAAAGATTAGAACCTTCTCTTCCATACACAGTCCAGTCCAAGTTTATTACATCTGGACCTATAATTCAGTCCCAAGGATGCAAAATGTAAATCATCTCTAAATGGATTTCAATCTTAATTTATCCTTTTTGCTAACACTATTGAGAATAAACGGGTATTATTCTACGATTGGTCGAAGACATACATCAAAATACGGGACTCATTGTTATCGAAACTACGAATTGTGCAACCCAGAAGACATTGGGACGTGAAGGTCTGTTTCACGATCTGTTCTGTGGAGGACGAATTGTATGAGTAACTATGTCGAAAGAATAGCTTTTCAAATTAAATTTCCACTAACATAAAGAGAACTTGCATAGCAAATAATGAACAGTATTTGTTCAAATATAAACAAATTTCAATACACGGTAACATTTATCCAAAATCGTAAGACCATAATTTGAAAGTATCCAAAGTTACACAAACGATTTATC